AATTATGCTTATGAAAAGAAAGCGCGCACAAATGGAATCACGAACACTCGCCAAAAGCAATTGAAGTGATAATAAGCATCGCTCTGGGTAAACAAAACCCGACCGAACCAACGTTTTGAGTCTCTCGGGCGGCATGCTCTTTTGCTCGTCGTCTTTTTTACTTAATACTCTTTCAAACTACAATTTTAGTTTCTGCACTTCCATCCACGTCGTCATTGTACTTGAAAAATAGCGACAGCGGCAGCAGCAGCAGCCGCAACAGATATTGTTGCTCGAGTAACCGTTAATAGTAAAATTAGGAATTAGATTTCTGGATAAAATATGATTATGGCATCATGGTTCATCCAGTGCCGTCGCATCAATAGATGCATTCAGTATGCCGTTGTTTTCACATTTTTATGCCAGGGCAATAGACAGACAGATAGTTGAGATAGACAGTTAGTTGGAGGGGGGGGGGGGGGAGGAGAGTAGAAAAATCAGTTGCACGCAAAGAATAGAACCTTAAACCAAAAGGTAAGTGTTACACAAAAGGATTTTCTCTTGGCTCGTCGCCGTTGTTGTTGTGCTAATGCCCGAGCTAGCGTCAAATTTTAAATAAGACTCGTTCAGTCAGAGCGAGCAAGCGTTAAAAAATATAGGAAACAACAACAGCACAAAAATGGAAACCATGAAAAATTATGATTGTTTCGCAATATCGCTGCTTTTGTACATTGTTGTTGAGATCACAACCAAATCCGTACACTGTCGTCTCGGTCTCTACGGATACGTGTCTGTCGATGCATGCTCTTGCGACTTAGTCACTTTGTTGTTGTTGTTGTTGTTGTTGTTGTTGTTGTTTCATCTCTCGCCCATAACCAACTCGAGAAGAAAACAGAACTTTTTTTAGTGGATTTGCAAAGCAAGTTCAGACTGTATTCATATTTAAGCATTCATAAGCGCTGTGTGAAATCCCATGCACATCATTCGACGCGATTCTTTAGCGCGCAACATTCTTGTTCATTTTTTTCTTATAAATACATTTTTTTCGTGTTGTCTCGCCCAGTATGTGTGTTTGTCTTTTTTTCGGCATGGAGCTGAAACTGACAAAAAACAAACGGCATGTTATGCGGAGTGTTATAATGGCGAATCTGACGATCCCATGTTCAACTTATGTGTGCATGATGCTTTATGAATGGAAAAAGTTAGATGACATCTTGAAAAAAAAACAGCAGCAGCAGCAGCAGCAGCAGCAGCAGCAGCAACGAAGCAGTTGAATCACATCGAACAGATGGAACAAACCGTTTTGATTCTTTTTACGCCTTGGCTGTGTCGCGTTCAAATCGTTACTGATGCTGCCGCTGTGTTTTTTTTTCGGTGTTGATTACAAAGATGTACGCGCGTCTATTTTAAAATTCAACTCATCTCTTTTATGCCGTTTACACACACGATTGCAAACAAACGACATTTTCGCACTGAGACGCGCCACACATAACAGTTCTATGTCATTGTTCGTGTATCCGGTCCATTGTACTTAATTGTGTATCGTTTGGTTGGTTTTGTTTTTTTTTTCGTCTCTATTTCCTTTTGCCACATGAAACCGTGCGAAAACAGCAATTCCTCTTTCGCGATATGGTATTCATAGTGCAATGGGCCAGAGCATCGAAAATCAATATCAAACGAGACCCTTTTCGAAAAGGGAAAAGCCAAAAGTAGAAACATTCACAACAGAGAAATCTAAATTCAATATATGATTTGATGATATTCCGAATTGAGCCCAAAATTAGCGTTAACTTGATTATTCAATACGAAGCAAGTCACTGTGTGTGTGTGTGTTGTCTATATTTATTGTTCGCATCGCTCTCGGAGATTTTCGATGCGATAGTTAAAGCGATGGAATGAAATGTTTGATAAATTGATATCTTGATTATATGCACTATATGTCGAATTTGTTTGTGTATCTGCGTCTGTGTCTGTGTTTGTGTATGCGATCGCTGACTAATTTGGATCGGGCGGTCTGGAGCAATTTAATGCAGATAGATGTTGTTCGCTGCTGGCAAAACAATCAATCAATCGCATCAAATGGATTGTCGAACAGTGTGCGCTGCGGTGCGGTTTGATTGCTTCAACCGAACCCGAATGAAAATCCAAACCAAGCATAATATAATGCGAGCAATAGCATTATCTAGCTATCAATAATCAAATATGACTAGTTTTTTTTCCCATCTTAATCTATTGTTTAAGAAATTTATGGATCTCGTTTGATTTTATTAATCCCCATTCTGTGTGTGTATGTGTCTGTGTGCTTTGTATTGATATTCTGTTTGATTTGGTTGCCTCTATGGATTGTGTGTTCCAAATGGATGAATTTGAGACGAGAGAGAGAGAGCGAATGCTAACGAAAGTGATGGATGGATCATGTACAGTTCTCGTTTTCCATTGTGTGCCGATATTGCACATTAATTGTTCTCATTTTTTGATTCTTATCAATTCAACTAATTATAAATAATTGACGAAGATAAACAAAGTTCTTTTTTTTCATGTGAGATTGTCTGTGTGTTCCTCTCCCTCTCCCTCTCCCTCTTCCTTTGCACCTCACAGTCATAACGGACACAGAACGGCAAATAAATGTTATTGTTATGAGTATCGACAGTAGCGTTCTCAAAGTTTGCCAGTGCAGTCGTCGTCGTCGTCATCATCGTTTAGGTACAGTCCATGAGGAGCGAAAGCGAGTGTTCACAAGAGATATGCAATGCAAACGAAATTAATTGATTGAAACGTTTGAGCTGAAATGAGATTAGTATGCATATGTTACGCGAGACAATAAACTGGCTGGCAAACCAGTCGAAAGGCCCCAAAATGCACCGGCCAAACCAACAAAGGAGCCAAAAGGAAAGAAGAAAACAGCAAAAAGCAAACAGCAAACACACATTTGAAGCCAGTCGACTCTCAACTGATCGAAGCGATTCTTGTTTTCACTCATTTTAGAAAATGAGAATTTACAATCGTACAACTGTTTGCAATGAGGCAACAACGTAATGCAGACTATAAAATAAAACCAACAAACCACACGCACATTCGCCTTCACACAGCATCACCAGCAAGGAATGAGCAAGAGAAAAAAAACTGTAGTACGCGCTCGCACTCTGGTGAAATATTGTTAATTATTTTTATAGTTTCTTCTTCATTCTCACCATAATTATTTCTATTGGCATTTGAATGTTCGCAGGGCATGGCACGACTCATATACGCTGTTCGTTCGCCCAAACGTTCGTATGTGTGTATGTTCAAATACATGATCTTTTTTTTTTGATTCGGCATTCGTAATGCTAGGCGATCCGTTTTATTTCACATTTTATTATTAGCTGATCTTTGACTGTGAGCCAAGACGAGCATGAGAGTTCATCTCTCGCCGCCGCAAGCGGAACAATATCGACATAGACATTGAATGAGTCATAAAAAAAAATCTGCGTTAAAAACCATTCCAAATCGAGAGTGAGCAAGTCAAGCAGTCAGTAAGCAAACTGACAACAACAAACAATACAGAAATACACAGCGCACACTGTGCTCCGTATGCCCCAAAACAAAACAAAAAACACATAAAATACCATATCAAACTATTTATACTCCCAAAGCCAAATGAAATGTGGCCAAGATGCGCTTCAAATGTGCTGCTGCAATACAGATTTCAGTTTTTGTTTCTTTTCGTGTGTTATTTCTTGTTCGTTTTCTTCTTCTTTTTCGGAGTATGTGATAAAACCATTTGTTTGTGTAATGAAGACTGCAGTGAAATATAAATGCTTTTGATGAAGAAAATATGTGTTCTTAAGGCAAACGATCATTCTTTCATGTATATGCTTCTTTTCTTTTCTTTTCTTTTGATTTCGGTGTAAAGACCTTTTTTTTCCATTTCTACTCATCCATCCACTCGCGCTCATTTCGAGATAACACGATGAGTTTGTGTGTTTGTGCGTGTGCAGCGTGCCACAGCTTCGTGTGCTCACTTCGATTGGGCAAATATTTCAAATGACTTTTTTGTTTATTTAATCGTTATTAGCAATTCTCATATCGGATGAAATGAATCAATTGAGAGAAACCGTATCGAATTCAAGTGGGAAACTAATTAAAATCGATAACGGGGGAGCTGCAGCGATGCAGTTTGTTTAACCAATTCGAATGAATGTTGAATATACATAAAACCAGAATGTGGACTTTAATCGACATTCCAAATGAACGCAAAACAACCGACTCTAACTGATATGTGTCCATGTCCACTGAATTGCGATTGATGCATTCATTCATCTTTGAATTCCTTGGAGAAATGAACGGCTGTTTTGTTGTTTTTTTTCTCTTCTTTTTTCTATCTCCGCAAGTGGCAACCACAACGAGCGAACGGAAAAAATACCGACTAATTTCAATGTCGTGAAGTTAATTTCCTTTTGAACTTCTGTTCACATTTAACGACGACAATGGCAAACCAAATGGCTGATGTGACAAATTGCTTTAACGATTTTAATTTCTGTCATTTTAGCGTGGCACATCTCTCTAACAAATGATCGCTTTAAATAAGTTTTAACGGCGATGCGTGAACGAAACGCGGCTGACTCGTGGTTTGACAACAACGTCGTCGACATTGGCTGGAATTCAACATGTATCGAATAGAGAGAAAAAGAAATGGTTCAACACGATCGCTAGAATGCAGCTAAGAATGTTTTGGAACAGTTTGTTAATGGAAAACAAATATGTGATCTGCAGAATTGCCTTGGAAATTGGTTTGCCGTGCGCGCATTTTTAAAACTTGTTTGATCTGTTCATATCTGTGGTTTAAGGATGCTTTGAAAATTTGTGGCTTGCCGCACTTATCAATCAATCGAAAACCATTAAAATTTCGTCACCTCGAAACGCCACAGCCGATGATAGACAAATCGAAACGTACAATTTTTCACTTTCACCCAAAATAAAACATAAAAGATCGAATATAACGCACAATGGAAAGCATAAAACAAAATGCAAGCATTACTCACAAAATTGGTATTCGTCTGAATCACGTGTCATCAATTGAAATTGGTGGAATCTAAACAAAGGAAGAGAAAGAGAAAAAAAAGTGAAATCATTAAATTCACTCATATTCCATATTCTTATGGGGCAAATAAACTGCGGCAATTTCATCGCATTATAATAATTTCAGGAACAATGGCTGCTTTTCCCTTCATATGAATAATTCAATGACATCAAAGCATTTTTGCTTTGTGTGTCTTGTTTGCATTTCTCTTTCGCCAAAACTAATCACAATCAAATGAATTATCGTTGGTGCTGATGACATTGCTTTTTGTCGTTGCACCCAATGGCTTAAATATTATTGGTTGGTGATTTTTTCTCCCTTTCTCTCTCTCTCTCACTCTCTCACTCTCTCTCTTGTAAGTTTTTTGCGTTCTTTGATTAAGCCATCCAGAATGACATGAAACAAACAGCGCATGGAATTCAATTGCGTACGTAGGCAACAAAAGAATAAGAAAAAAAACCGGCAAATTGTTTATTTGCACAAAATGAGTTATTGCTGGAATGATTTGCATGTGTGTGTGTGTGTGTGTGTGTAAGAGCGCCTTTTTTTATTGTTGTTCCTTCATTGCTTTCATTTTTCTTTGAGTTTTCGGTTCTGGCTGTTGTCGGCACATTTTGCGATGCATCGCCCGCTAATCGATATGCAAGCACCAACAGAATAGTTGTTTATTTTCTCTGAATATGCAAAACTTTTTTTATGCCGCTCATATTTTTATTCTGCCGCAACAAAGAAGAGAGAGAGAGAGAGAGAGAGAGAGAGAGAGAGAGAGGGAGAGAGAGAGAAACGAACAGAAGAAAAAAAGTGCTCTTCATCAGTGAGTCGGTGCGTTGCTTTTGTTTGCTTAAGCGCACTTTGGGTCGATTTTTTTACGCTGTGCATGAATTTATTAATTTTCTTTAAATGGCTTTTGTCAACGGCAAAAATATTGCAATTTTATTGTAGCGATACATAGTTTGTGTGTTGCCGTGCTCTGCACTGCCGCCACAGTCGTTCTCGTCGCCACCGCTGTCGTGCGTGGCTCACCCAGTGAGTGCAGGCCACGCTCTCTCTCTCTTTCGTGCGCGCTTGTGATGACTGAAAACAACAAGAATAAACAAAAGCAAAGCGCACAATTTTCGAACTATGCGCCTTTTTGTGTAAATTATCAAGACGACAAGCCAGAGACAGAATGAGGTATTTATGTGCATTTGACTTTGACACGCATAAGGCGCAATGCATGTTGCCATCATTTTCTCTTGCTATCTGAATCACTTCTTTCTCTCCCTCTCCCTCTCCCTCTCTCCCCCCCCCCTCTCTCTCTGTACATATTGGATTGTGTGTATGCAAACATGTGACGCATTCCACTTCTCATTCACTGTACTCTTTCTCTGCACACTAGGGTGTTTTTGGTATTAAATAAACAGAAAATGGTAGTTTTAGTTTGATAGAGCAGAGAATTTAGAATCGATTTCATATATTTTTGTTCGGAATCAGTCCAAGATGCCACTACCCACAAGCAAAACAAATGTTCGTCGAATTTTGAGGTTATATCACTATTGGCTAAAACTAATGTGATATTTTCCACTTTTTTCGATTCAATCTCACTGCCAGAGATGAATTCTCAATGCAAACATTTATTTTGACGTAATTTTCATTGGAATAAGTGGCCAAATAGTCGAAAATTCACACAAATTGTATTGCCTCTTTGACCGGTTCTTCAATCATAGAAAAAACACCGACAAACTCATTTTTTCACAGAAATTCATTCAATGGATTTGAACTAGACGATAAATTATCTAAATCCACTAAAATATCCATTCGAAAAAAAACCAGGAAGGCCAAATTGCAGCAAAACCAAAACGTAAACAAAAACGAGCTGTCATCATGAAATCTGGGCTTCTTTGAAATTTTAAAGGGCTACCAATGCACTTGTGCGAATGGATCACAGTCAATTCGCACACAGTGATTCGCGCAGATGTATTTTGGTCTTGTCAAACATCAAACTAAGCCCGAATTTCATAATGACAGCTCGTTTTTGTTTACGTTTTGGTTTTGCTGCAATTTGGCCTTCCTGTTTTTTTTTTTCGAATGGATATTTTAGTGGATTTAGATAATTCATCGTCTAGTTCAAATCCATTGAATGAATTTCTGTGAAAAAATGAGTTTGTCGGTGTTTTTTCTATGATTGAAGAACCGGTCAAAGAGGCAATACAATTTGTGTGAATTTTCGACTATTTGGCCACTTATTCCAATGAAAATTACGTCAAAATAAATGTTTGCATTGAGAATTCATCTCTGGCAGTGAGATTGAATCGAAAAAAGTGGAAAATATCACATTAGTTTTAGCCAATAGTGATATAACCTCAAAATTCGACGAACATTTGTTTTGCTTGTGGGTAGTGGCATCTTGGACTGATTCCGAACAAAAATATATGAAATCGATTCTAAATTCTCTGCTCTATCAAACTAAAACTACCATTTTCTGTTTATTTAATACCAAAAACACCCTACTGCACACTCGCCTTATTGACTTTAAACACTTGGTGCAAACAATTTCCAGAGTAATTTTCTGCGAAGAAAAAAGAAGAAAACCAAAGCAACGCTCGGAGTTTCGTTTATAGAGTACATATTTACGTTTTAATACTCTTTCGTTGGTTGGCTTGGATGGTAAACAATTACTTTAGGGTATTTCGTTTCGATTTTATGTTTGTGTGTGTGAGTTTATATGTGGTTCATGATGAAAAGTGGTGGCTGGTTGTAATTTTTTCTCTTTCTCTGTTTTGGTGCAGTCAAGTGACAACGTGAGACCATATCAACACCACAAAGTTTTGGGTTGGTGAAGAGACCAATCGCAAAATGTACACAATAATCGAACAAATGTTTACATTTTTCGCCAGACGAATGCAAAAGAAGCCATCACCCACTTTGACAAGTGCAGGCAACCAGCAGTGAATTTCTCTCTGTGTGTGTCGATATTCCATAATGGAAAAGAGTAGAGAAATTTTTCGATCGACTGCCACTGCTATCGTCGTCGTCATCGTCGTCGTCATCATCATCACCATCATCACCGTTGATGAAGACAAGGAGTGATTTTACTGTTGCATGAAATCAAATTGAGAACAATGATTTAAACGTGTGCATGAATTGCGCTATTGCACTTGTTTGGCTGCTGAGCTGCTGTCAAACAGCCAAACTCTGTGTGTAACTAAATCGCTGGCACTTGTGACACATCTCACACTCCATCACTCTTCATTGTAGCTACGCACCGTAAATTCATTCACGCTCAATACATAGTTTCAAGTGGAAAATCACTTTGTCGATGCCATTTTATTGTGTTGCCGCTGTTCTGTTCTGTGTGAGCTATTCGTTCCACTTGTTCCAAGTGGCAACCGAGATGCCGAAAATAACGGGCTCAAAAATCATTATTTCACATTTTGTCGACAGACTAACGATCATTCAGACGAAGGAGACGCAGCCAAAATGTAATGCTTTAAATTCAAACATACGAAAGTCTCTCTCAATCCATCCATTCCTTCAAATGCATTTTTCTTTGCACACTCCAATATATCATGTCTTTCACTCGCATGTCAGACAATGGCGAACCATTCACCCAACGACCATACGAATTCTTTTCGCCGCTTCAATTCTATTTATTTTCCGCTCTTCTCTCAATTCACCTAATAACAATGACTCTCTTCAAGTGCTTCATTCCAATGGAGTAAGCACATAAAATGCCATTCCAGCGATATAAATGGAATCATGATGTTGAATTACTCCACGAATCCATTTGATTTACAGTAAAAGAATTTCGTTTTAATGCACACTCGGAATTGACCAAAGACGAATCGAAAATGTGTAAAGACATTTCCAAGTGTGCTGACAAAACGTATTAAAATAATAAATTCAACTAATTAAAACATAAATTTGATCGTAAGTGTATCGCCCGCGAAATAACTATATCTTTCCATGTTAAAGATTGTGTTAAGTGTTTTCGATCTAATTGACCGGGGAATTCGTTCTTATTTCTATTATTTTCGTTCAGTCTAAAATAGAATAAATGTGCGCTGTGTGAGCATGTGTCTGTTGGTATGTTAAACTGACGAAAAAATGATTTGGTTTGTTTCAAACATGCAATCGAAATAATGCATGAGTAATCCAACTAATAATAATAATCATGCTGAGGGAATGTGTTATTTACACTTCAAATTTTTACACGCAATGTGTTTTTTCGAGAACTAGTAGCCATTTAAGCGCTATTACATTATACAGTGCGAATCATGTTAGAATGTCCCGGAGCTGAGCGTACAATCATTATAATTGACAGCATGTTAATTAGCATTTTCACACGATTTCTTGGTTTTTTTTTTTATTTCGGTTGAGATTTTGCTTTCGTCTGCCGTCCATATGTGCGTGGATGTGTGCTCCTTTGGTGGCGAACTGGTGACAACTCATCAGTTTTCTCGCTTATAATTGCATCATTGCGTAGAGAAAATGCAGTCGGCATTCACATTCTGGTGTCGCATGCACATTTCTGCGATGTGCGTATTTGTCATGTGCATTGCGCATCGATTCGTTTACAACACAGTTACTGTTATTCAAGCACTTGGCTCGACTGACATGTAGATTAAACTAATATGTACATTGTACACAAGCCCGTTTCAAGTTCAAGTGCCTTTGTGCAAAATGAACTACTGGCTTTTCTTATTGCTTTGTAATGGTTCTGCCCTTGGTCTTCTTCATAGTTTTCTTCGTGTTTTTTTTTCTCTCTACTTCTTCTTCTTCTTCTTTAAATAGTCGGAAGCACTTGAGGTGACAACTCACTTTGTTCGTTCTGTTTATTTTTTTTTTGTAACAAAAGAACGTATACCTGAGCGTACTATAATAATAAAAGCTAGACAATGTTATTCGCTTGAGCCGAAATGTGTCACCATTAAGATGCATTTGGATCGGATTGTGTCAGCCTAATAATAATAATCATGCGATGCTTTATGGCTTGTGGCTTTTATTTTAAAACATTGTTCAATATTTATAGG